GTTATAAGTCTGGTCCGTTGAAAGTGATTGGTCAGTTTAGCCATGATGGTATTGGCTGAAAGACTCGTGTAAAGTTTGTCACCAGTCATTGGTCGGTTTTGATCCGTCTATTGTTAGTCAAATTGGTTAATTTGACTAACAATAGCGGACTTCAAACCAACAATATTGGAGAATTGCTTCTCAAACTCATTAATCATTCATCAAGTTTAGACAAAGAAAATCATGACTGCGACGGTGTTTGGATATCTGATCTTAATTAGCATAAATTTTTGCGGTTTTATTTCTCCGTTTTCTCAATAGTTTTAGTTTCGATTGAGAAGATATATCAAACAGTCAAGACAGTGTTTGACCATATTTCCAAACACCTCGAAGTTCGTCAAAAATACTCCGCTGCGCGTCATATTTTGAACTCAATCTTTATCTTTCAATCTTCAACAGGTCAACTCTCTTCTCGGTGTTTAGAAATGTGGTCAAACACGGTCTTTCGTGTTTGATATATTACTTCCAAGACCTATAAAAATATTCTGTTAATAGTACAAGAATTCCTCAGAATTGCATTACACATCCCTACTGCGCACGCGTCATTAGCGAAACCGATGAAAAAACCCACGTGGTTAGGCCTAAATGGGGGTAAGATTGGCCCATCATATCTCTTTGTGGGCATCGTGGCCTATGCTATTTAATGTACTTTTCGAAACAGTGCTTGGTAGGGAACATTCAGGGAAAGATTCACAAAAATCGTTCGACAACTTTTACTTCGAGGGATCACCTTTAAGACCTACCCTCAAAAGTTGTAACTCTTGCTCTAGTCTTTGGTTGGCCAAGTGAAAATTCATTATCTGTTGTTGTAGGAGCGGATCCACAGCTTGAACACCACAGAAAAGAATGAAATAAAACGGTCATTATAAACGGTATTGACTGAATGTCGACGGCACCACATGAACATATAACAATAATTCTTTGTAAGATGTTACTGTACATGTACAAGAGGCTCTCTCTACGTGTGGCTTACTTTGTTTGACATTCTAAATAAACAGAAACTAGATATTGTTTGTTAATTTTTGAAATTAAGAGGAAGCTCGAAACAATACTTATGTTTGACTGGCCCAGATTGTTTGAAAGGTGGATAACGCTATCAATCTACCAGATAAATCACTGTCCAGCGGATAGCGTGGATTGTTTTGTTAAGACTTATCCATTGGATAGCGATCTATCCAGTGGTTAGCCTTGTCCAGCCTTCGAACAACTAGGGCCTGGACTTCTTAGCACTCAACAAACTCAGTTACACATCAAAATCAGCAATAAGATACATTTATTACCTGGTGGCGGCCTCTGTGTAGCTTGCATTCTTTGTGCTTCATACTCCAACTCTCGCATTTGTGCCAGTATTGCAGGATCATTGCCTCCTTTGTGAAAATACTCATTCTTCAACATACTGTTAGCAAGAGAAAAGAAGGAAATATAGTCAAGCAGGATATTTACTCGCCAGCGCTGAAGGTTTTTTATTCTTAAATCAAGTTTTTAGCATAAATATGAAACAAGTAGCATAAAGATAAAAAAAGCATAAAGATAAAAAAAGTACCAGGAGGTTTGAAGAAATTTTGGGGTATGAAAAAAATGGAAATTATTACCATGTGAAAAGATACTCACTTAAGTTCGTGTAAAACATTGCTCTGTCCAAGTTGGATTGGCGCAGGCTCAAAATATCGAACTGGAGAATAACGATACGGAACAATCTGACCTGGAAATTAAACAACAAATTGAAATCATTGAATAATGACAACAAAAAAAGTTGAGGAACTTGTGAGGAGACCACGTTTTAATAAATGTTGACATATCCATGATATAAAAGTTATCAAATTAGAATCCTGTGTCTTTAAAAATATATATTTTTTAAATTTCTATGACAAGGTACATTGTTAAAATTGGAAAGACAAGAATACTGGTTTATGTAGACCTGCAATCTAAATATATTAACAAAAAAAACTTACTAATTTAAAAATTTATTATAAGTCACTAACCTCTTCTATCTCCAACCAGTTCTCTTGAAGACCCCCTACACAAAGAGAAAATTGAAATTAAATTTTGTCAAAACCCCACCTGGACAACATTAACACACAACAAAGAAAATCCAAGGAAAATAGTAAATAGTAGTTGTCTCTAGAAAAACAGGATGTTGACTCAATGAGGACCAAAAGAATGGGAAAAATTAAAATTCAACCGAGTACAAAAATGCATAAAAGAATAAAAGCAATAAAACATGGAACAGAAATCTGAAATGTACCTTGGTTGTATTACTTGTGGCTCTGGACTTCTAATATAATCAGATGCCGCACTACGGGGTGGAGATCTTGCCGAAACCTTTAACAGGTTGACTTTCGATTGTTCAGTATTGAAGTTTCTCCTGCAAAAAAGAAAAGCACAAAAGATTAGTTTTGATTACTTTCAAAGTAAGGGGTGAGAATGAGTGGGATGCTGCATTTTAAAATCTGGAGACCCCTAATTCAAATCTTCCAGTCTGCCCAGGGCTAAAATTAATGGACAGCTTCTCAGTAGTTTTGGGTTTAACTCCTCAGTCACAATCAGCCTGTGTGGCAGGTGTATATAGGAAAGGTGTAGGGGAATCAAAAAGGTCTTGAAGAAAGCAGGGGAAGTTGTTCCTCTCTCCCAACCACCCTCCTTCTATCACCCCTCCCCCTCCTACACTCCTACACCCTCTTCCCTGCTTTACACCTGCTACACACGCTAGTCAGTTTGTAAATAGCCAACTGGTCTACTTAGAACTGTCAATTTGGATTCTTAACACGTTTATGTCAAAATTTGCTATATTTGTTTCCTGTTTTACAGTGTCTGCTAAGAGTACAACCCAGTCCTGAGTGCACTTCAAAGTCAATAGCTTGTTTGTAACAAACCCTCACCTACAATGCGTGACAAAAGTAGTTGAGCCACTTTTACAAAATGATGCTTTTGACATTAAGAAGGAATCTACCACAAGTTTGAGTCACAAGTGGACAAAAACTTAGTACCTACTAGATTATTTGCACTATATTGCAAACCTCTGTGGACTGTTTCAAATATCTTCTCCATAGAAATCATTTCCGACAACACCAAATGTTGAAAACAAATTTTGAAGTTCATCAAACACTTGAAAGTACTGGTGAAATGAAACTGATGATGATATTTTACCTGTGTTTGTGCCATTTTTCTGAACTTTGAAATTTATTTTCTCAAGTCCCTATACAAAATTGTTTTTGGTGTTATTTCAGGCAATTATATATAACTTTGGCTTTAAGAAAATGCCCAAAGGATTTTAATATACTTAACATTATTCTGGTACAGGATTCTTGTCTATTGAAAACTGAAATTGCTCGATCCCCTACCAGATTTCATTTTAAACCTCTTGTTCTATTTTATTTGCACTTAACATTAATTCTCTGATCCCACCATCCCCCCCAATTCAATGTTGTGTAGGCGCTGTAGTCTGTGCAGTCTAAGGAATAGAAAAATCAACATTGTTTGGGGTGGAAGGGGGAGAAATGTTTCCAAGATACTCAAAAATTGAATTTTACTGCAAAGTGTCCCAACACTTCCGTTTCCCATTGTAGCTGCAGGGTAACAGACAGAGAGGGAGACTGCTTAACAGCAGGAGGAGAGTTTACAGAATGCACTATCCAGGCAAAGTGCTACTCCTGGGGTAGAGGGAGAAGTTTGGTAGTAGCTAATGCTCCAAAATGGAGTAAAAAGGTTTCTGATCAGATCAGATCAGACAGATAAAATTCCAAACTCCAAAAGGTCTTCTAATCTTTAGTTAAGAAATAGAAAACATGTACCCTGTTTCTATCGAGTTATAGAAACATAAGTGGAAGTTTGGGAGAACGAGAAATGCTGTGGGAACACGAGCCCCAGGCGAGTGTTTCCACAGCTTTTTTGAGTTCTCCCAAACTTTCACAAGTGTTTCTGTAGCTTGATAGAAACACAGAGAACATGTTTTCTATTTCTTTTAGAAAACACTGTGACCAAAAAAGGAAAACAACTTGTTAACTTTGATTATCAAAGTGTAAATTCTCTATGCTCATGCCATCATTACATCAACAGCTTGTGCTAGTTCTGTTTCTATCGAGTTATAGAAACGCGATTTTTAACCAATCAGGGCACGTATTCCTTAGGACTGTTTTCTAAAACAAAATAATACTATGTATGAAGTTTCAAAGCTAGGTGAAACATTAAGTGAAATGCATGACACAATTACAAAAAAGTTATTGACACACATTGAAAATTGTAAGAAATTTTCTCACTTTTCCTCTTCTTCTTTAAAGTCCAAGTACCTCTTCAGTCCATCAAGCTCTGTAACCTGTTTATTCTACAAAATAATTAATAATAATTATTAAAACAGACCACACATTTGTGCATGTAAAGATCTCTAATTGTTATGACTTACTAGACTCCCCTGAGATAGCATTTTCTGTCTGCTTTTCAGTCCTAAGGAGTTCATCCTTTCAGCAATTACTGAAGAGTAAATTAAACAATCAAAACAAAATCAAAGAAGTCAAAGGAAAGGTGTCACTTTTCGAGAATCCTCTTACATGTAAATGTATGTGTAGATCCATACAAAGAGTTTACTGACAGCTTATATACCAGTGTGGAGGTCTTGTGGTTGTTATAGTGAGCTTGACTCTGGTTCAAGCAGTCTGGGTTCCAGCCCTGGCCAGGGACATTGTGTTGTGTTCTTGGTAAAGACACATAACTCTCACAATACCCGTCACTACCCAGGTGTATATGGTCGCCAGTAAATTTAATGCTGGGGGTAATCATGCAATCAACTTTATGTACCATACACTGGACATGCTAACTTACTGCACTGATATGTGAACATAAACAACTTCCTTACTTGCTTTTTCTTTCTGCAGTTTTTCATTCCTCAGTTTCAGCTCAGCAAGCTGCTGACGATGGACTTCAGTCAATTGAAGTATCTTGTCATCACCCCTATCATCATGGTTTATTCTCCTTGGTGTCTGTAGTTTGAATAGAGAAGTATACTTTATCTGACTGGGAATTACTTACATGTAATTGAGATATTTTTGTGAATTTCAGTAATTTCATAATTTATAATATTTGTTTCTTGATTTATGGTGTCCTCAGAGAGCAGAGCAGTGCTAAATACCATGATACTAAATAAATAGATCTTCATGTACTTTGTTTTTTTATGTTGGTGATATCAGCTGTCAAATCAGATTTATGGAGTTGGTCTACAGATTTTCATCATCTATAACATATAAGTTTGTTTCTTAATAACAGTATTATAATGTCAACCTTATTACTTAGGTTTTCATAGGAATGCCCTTGTTTAAAGCTTCCAATAATATCTCAATTTTCTCGCCACAATTGTTGATCATTGTCAGGTTTTTGTTGACAAGAACAATGCACAGGCCATGAAGAAATAAGAGATCATCTGAGATAACTTGACTTCATTGGCATATGCAAACATGTACCAAAATAGATGAGATACAAAAGAGAACAAACATCACTATAATGGTTTTACCTGGCAAAAATTGTAAAAATTGCCAGGGCAAGGAAATTCCCCTCCCCATGGGCTGATCAATGCAGATGGCCATCATTTGGAAGATGACTCAATGTACATGTCCATTGTAATTATCTAACAGGAGAAGCTGCATATAATCCAACATGATAGGCAGACATTTGCATTGTACAGCTGTACAATGTAAATGTACAATGTACATGTATACTGTATCTGCAGAGGATAGCACCGCATGTAATCCAACACTCAGTAATAGGACTGGCATTAAACACATGGAATGAATGGCTGAAATGAGTTTTTGTATGATAACTTTATTACTTACATGCACAGGAAACTGGCTGTCTTTGATACTGGTGAGTAAAAGTTTTTCTTCCAAGTTCCTTGAGTTTCTTTGCATCAATTGCTGAGTCTTAAACCTTTTCAGCTGGTCTATCTGAAATTTAGACATCATGCAAAAATTATGAGCAATTAAGTCACTGGTCAAAAAAGTCAGTCTCACTAAAAGGGTTACATGTGTATTGTATTCATAAAATGCCAAAATAGTGTCAGGTCTGGAACACTGATATACCACTTTCATTGACAGAGTGTTACCTTTTCCTTCTCAAGGGCTGATATATCACCATAATCACTGGTGGGTGTGTTTGGTGCAGACTTGCGATGCGTGGAGCGATGCTGACTCCCTAGAAAAATCTTCGTGTGAAAACAAACAAAGAAATGAACAAACAAGATGACGGGATAATGATACAGACCACTGAACATTTCAAAATTCAAAATTCAAAATTGTTTATGCTGCCCTTGATATTACATGTACATTTATATACAATTATAATAATTTATGTGACTTCTAGAAATAATCTACAAAAAATAAAACGTTTATAAGCCACATTCAAAACAAGGGTTTTTTATTGTTCAACATTCTTCTCACATTGCTCCTGTCATTTCCTGGATGAAGATTCATGTTTCTTGTCGGAGTATTGGGTGCAGATGAACTGGAATGAGCTGGAGTCTTGACACCTGGCAAAGGCTAAGTGATTTCAAGAATACATTACAAGAAATTTTAAACAACATACAATAATTTGAGTTGGTAGAAAAGGTGATAGGACATAGGAGAGAAGACAGTAGAATGTACAAGTTGGCTGGCAAGTTCTGTGTGCCAGACACTGCTGGGTACAACAACGTACAGCTGTGCTGTCTACTGAGTGATGTACAAGGAGAACTTATTATTTCCATTAACATTTTCAACCAGCTATGGAGAACTCAAACATCATCACTACATGTGCTTTAAGTTTACTCAGTTGTTGGACAATCTCCCACATAGCAAGTTTGCAGAGCTTACTTTTCAAGCATTATCCCTTCTTCCAGAAAATGATAATTTTACAACTTTGAAAATGCTCAAGATGTCAGCTTCACAAACTTGCTACAGCACTTAATTTACCTGTACCTTTACCAACTTCAATTTGATATACAATGTAAATGTATAGCCGAGCGTCTCCTTGTGGGCACCTAGTCTATAATACAGACAACTCAGTCTATATTATAGACAACTGTTAGTGTTATAATACACACAACTCATTTTTGAAAATCCACCAATAAATAGCTGGGATGTTCTGTTTCTTATCAATATACTGTAGTTGGCCATCACATTTGCATGTAAAGCCCAAATGAGGAAATGAGTTCAATTTTTACTTGGCCGGAAACTACATGTACATGTACATATTTGTACAGTGTGTGACCAGCAAGAAGCTGGCAGCATTATAACTGCACTGTTGGGAGTTTACTAAATGTGTCCTTCCCTTACCGTTTGCAATTCTTGTTTATCTTTTCTTTCATGTCTATTAGCACTTTTACCAGATATCCTGGAATGGATACGAGCTGGATCTACTGTGTCACCAACACAAAACTTTCTTTTATGAGTGTCATACAGTTGTTGAGTGTCAAACGTCATGTTGCATTCCTTGCATCTCCAAGCCATTTTCCACGATTAAATAATGTTATTGCCTGTAAAAAGTCCTACCCAGCTGATAGTTGTGAAGGAAGAAAAGTGTCTCCATAACATTGACATATGCAATGTTCATCTGCTGAGATCACTGGCATGATACGGTTGTCAAGTGCTTGAAATCAGTTGAAAATCATTGATAAATAGCATCGGTACAGTTAACTATTCACGACATGTTGAGATAAAAATACACTCTTCTCCAAGAAATAGCGAATCAAATGGAATTCTAAGCCATTTCGTCGTTTTTAGTGGCAAAACAAACCTCGACCTTCCAGTCTTTTCCACAAGGTTTGTTATACAAACACCGCCAGCAGGCGTTGTGATCAGCGGTGTTTGTTGTTTGAACCCAGTCTTAAAGTCTGCGTGGCCGTCTGCGTGTTTGTCACGCAAGGTCACGCAACAATTACAGCTGCAAAACAAACGCCTGTTGGTTGCGGAATTTTTTATTTGCGACTTCAGGATGAAAAGCCCATACAGCTATTTTGCTCTGTATGCCTGATGTATCGGCCTGATATCTCAAGAAACACTGGTAAAAGCAAATCAGTATGATCCACATTTGTTCCCGTCCGAAGGCCCTTTCATAGAAGGATGGTATTCTCGAATCATAGACTTCGAATCGAATCACTCGTTTGGAATCTTGTTTGGCCAAGTTCTTCTGCAAAGCCACGGACCTCACTTCAATTACTATCCGCAGAACATGCTGTCGTTCATACACAGCAAAGGAGATGGAAGTTCTATGGAAAGCTTCGCAGTTTATCCTTCAAACGATGACATCGAGGTAACAGTTCGTGGAAAACCGGTGACGTCCAATCCCGATTTTAAATCGCCAGCGAACTTTGAATGGAAGGTGAAGCCGTATGGTTATTTTAGAGTGACTGAAAACGAAACAAGATTCAACTTTACCAATGTAGGGGGTGTCACTTTTATTGGAGTGTTGGGGCCCCCAAAACCATGGGGCCCAGATGGCGAGGGCCCAGAAGGCTGGATTGATCATGTGCCTTTCCTTCCTCTGCACTGGTTTGTGTACAGTTTAGGCTCGGAGATAAATTACAACTGGGTCAATGATGACACTGGCGAACTGTTGAGAGGAAGAAAGGGTCTTGCGCATCAGGAAAAAAACTGGGGGAACAGTTTTCCACCAGCTTAGATAAGGGTAGAGGGTGTAGATGGCCCTTCAGGCTCTTCTTTTGCAGTCTCTCTTGGAGTCCTTGGCATAGATACATTCAATATTCCTGCCCATCTGATTGGCTATCGCAGTTTAGCAGCGACCCTTAATTTTAAGCCAACAAATTCTGTGTTGACCAAGTTCATTGATGGGTGCAGTGGAAGAATGAATGCAACCGTGACAGGCCTCAGCCACAAACTTGAATTTGAAATTCATACAGCTCCATCGGCTTTGCAAACATGTCTCCTTGGACCAACCTTTGATGGTTTCGCTCCTGTCTGTGTTGAAAGCTACATTGCATCTGGCACTTTCCATGTCTATAAGTTGACATGGAGTGGGTTTGAATTGGTTGAAACAAGAACATTTCACATGACAGCCTTGGAATTTGGTGGTTTGTATCTTTGCCAAGAGAAAAATCCTTGCCAGAAATCTCAGGCAAAGTGATGACAGTTCTGTCATCACTTGGACCATAGTGATTCGATTTAGCAGCTGAGAGCACTAATTTACCTTTGGTAGCTCAAGGAAAGGCACTTATCAGGGGCACTGGGTGCAAACTGTATCCAGTATTTCATGTTATACCTATATCTCTGAATGTGGTTCAATACTTTAATGATCAACAACAGATTTGTTACCTCATGAACTGTAACAATAGCAGCTCTGGTAGACATAATGTTCAATGATGTGTTCGTATGCGAAAGCAGACTTGATAGTTCTTTTGTCTAGTCAGTCCATTTTATGCCAATGTCTTTCAAGAATGCCTGACTTTTGCTATGGGGGTGTTTACTGGTAGGGGGTGCCTATACGATGTATTCCCAGGGTGGGACTACGACATGAAAAGGTCAGATATGTTCATCATCTTGCTTAGGGGTATAAAACAAGAATTCAGATTCTGGTCTCCGTTTTGGTGTTCATAATGAAACTCCACTATTTTTAGATCTCAAAGTATCTTTTAGGGTACACTTGAAGAAATGATAAAAAAGACTCTTTAAGCTCAATTTATGTGGGTTTCTCAAGTCCGATCTACTAGCACAGGCTCCTTTCCTGAACACCGGCTGGTAATAGAGCCTATTCCATTTTAAGTGGTATCTTTTAGGTATCAAACAAAGCTCGAGCCACACTCAGATTTGTCTCCTTTAGGGATTTACCTCAAATTTTCCAACAAGCATCCCCGACCTCTTCATATGGGAGTTCCCCCCACCGGGGATGTATCTCCCCATCAGTTTTATCCCAGAGCTCCCCCCTTGGAATAGCATTGACTGTGTTTGTAAAAAAAATTACATTCAGGTCTTGTTGATTTGAATTTTGATAATAATGGGTCTGGAATTCCTTGTTATAAAGCTCTCTGCACGCATTGCAGGCCTATAATGAGGGAGCATTATAAAGCTCTCTGCACGCATTGCAGGCCTATGATGAGGGAGCATAATTATTGTAATGAAAACTGAACGTTACTTGGATGTTACATTTATCTAAGAATTTGGTGGTTCTGGATCAAGACAATTCTCCCTGATGATTTTCTTAATTCCCATTACTTGTCTGCTCTACAGTTTATTGACAAGTTAGGAGAAATCAAATGTTAATAATTTTTGAGAATTCATATATTTATTGTATGTGTTATGGTATGTATGAAAAGGGCTGATAAAATGACAAATCCAAGCTCCTATACTGGTTGCCAGGCCCACTCAATTTTTTTAATGTCATTTTTTTATGAAATTATTTTTAAAAGCCTCACATCGGTGAAATGTAACAATGTAGTGCAAAATGTATAATGAAGAGATTGAATTATATGAAAAATGTGTTATCTGGGGATAATATATATATGTATATATTATATTATGGACTTTAAATCATGTGAAAAAACTAATCTTGGTTAGATTTAAGGAGAGAATATTTTTGTATATTAAAATGCAAAGAAATTTCTAAACATGATATAATTTTATAGAAGCTTTACTAATAAAGCATAGTTAAGTATTGAATAAAGATGAAATGAAAAGAAGCAAATGTAATTTTTTTCAGTCTTTTTTATCAGCATTGTGGATGCAAAGTACAAGAAATATTAATAAAGATAAAGAATAAAGTGAGAGAAATGTAAATAAATTTCATTTTTGTCTTTTCTATTAATACTACTCCTGCAAGGTACAACAAGCATTCAATAGGATTACAATAAGACCAATATTATTTTGCCCTTTTTATATGCCCAGCAGATGCATAGTTGAGCAGATGGGAAGTGATAAGAAGATAGTAACAAGAACCGTTGATGCAGTACTCAGTCCCACGTACTCAGTAAATAGATAAAAGCCATTAGTTTATAAAGAAACTGCTGTGTTCTGTCGACATTCAAGTAAAATAATAACATCATTATCAACTTGATCTTTATAAGTTTAGTCCACAACACTTGGTTAATTTGTTCGGACGAATCTTGAAAGGTCAATTAACTTCTCTTATTATATGGCTATTGTAGCTCCATGAGTTGGCAAGATGAATCAAATCCTGCACTGTGATTGGCTACGCGAGCGGGCAAGATGGAACTATCTTGCCCGCTC